CTTCCTCATCTTTCAGTTAGAGCTTTACGCTTCAGCCGATAAATGTTCTGTTCGGCACATAGCGGAAGTTTTAATATACACAGCATGTTCAGTTCACATGTTTTAGTTGAGTGTTTTCTGAATATGAGAAACTAACTCTGTAGGATGACATCTGGCCTGAAACCACCAGAGAGCTGCCCCGATTACACTGCCTTTAGTTAGACTATAGCATGGAACTGTAAATGTATTTTTTCTGTGCCGGCAGAATTATAATTGTTAATTCGGTAATATTAGGCTACTATATAGCTCCATGAAAGCTTCTTAACATATCAAACACAGGCTTAATGCGTTGTTGGAGGCAGTTAATCACGTGGCAACGTTAGGATACATGACCAAGAAGAGAAATAAGTGCAGTTAAGCATGCCATTTATGTGCACAGCTGAGTGGCCATTGCCTCTTGGGGGTCTGTGTGTGCATACATGTGGATTCATAGTGGCAGTGGTATCCATGTTATGCGCTATTGGGTGCTGTAGGGTAGAGGGGGGAAGGGGAAATATAATTTTCCTTTGAAGCATCTTGTCAGCTTTTCTTTAAATTACTTAATGTCATTTTTTTACCAGAACTATGCTGTCCAACAATCACCCTTCATCAATGACAATGCTGGTATGTCTTTCCACACTGTTGACCTGAATGACTGCTGTTGAACCGACAGGCAGAGGTCGACAGAAAGCATCCAGTGACATAATTAAGATTAATAAAAGGGCACTTGACCAATGATTTCAGCCTGCTGTTCTCTGTCATAATAAAAGGAGTTTTGCTGTATTTGTTTCTTTCTCTGTTTCTGTTGTCAGTGCCTGTTTCTGTTCTGGACACTAGCTGCGTTACAGAAGAGTAGTACATATGTATAAGCAATTATATAGTGTCCTAGAAAGAATTGCGATAAACAATATTATTGTCATTTTAAAATCCTTTTATGCCACTGATATAATAATCTATCGCGATTCCATTTTTATTAACTGCAGACTCTATTCTGAGGTAACAAAAACACCTGAATACAGGAATTGTTATTAGTTATACACTAATACACAGCTATGAATATTTATATTACATTTCTGCCAAATAGATCATCCTAAATGTCACACTGGACCTTCAACAGGCAATATACTGGTTTAATTAATGTGGGAATCCTGCTGTTTATTCTGGCATCATGTTGGCTAGAATGTTGGTGACAGTCTGAGGCAAAAAGTCGATATCGTGACAGGCGACAATTACATATCATATTTATTGTATTATTGTGGCAGGCCTAAATGTGCTTATGTTTGAATGAACGTGTGGTACGTAAATTAATGAGTGTATATATTTTTTGCAGTAAAAGGATTACCTTGCAGGCATTGTGTTGTTTGCAGCCGGAGTTTAGTTCATTGTTCATTGTTCATTGTTCATTGATGTGCTGTGCCATTCATATGATTAGTGTCCGTGGGCAGCAAGCAGAAGCGTCTTAATCCCTTTCATCATTCCACTCACAAACACCATTTTCCTTCAGTCAGTTCCTGGCTTCACAATCCTGCACAGGCAGCCAACTGTAATCTCTTGCTCTTTTTGTTAAATTCACTGAGTCAGTCAGTTGGGTGTCCATCTTTGTGATGTTCAGACTGTTAGTGTGAGCCACAGCAATTCAATAGTTCACATGAACGTAAATGCTTCAGGACTAAACTGGGAGATGCTGCATATTGAATGGGGAATATTGGTGTTAAATGTTTAATAATCGAATATAAAAGCTGGGTACTTTACTATTACTGCATTAAATACATGCTGAAGGCTCAATATAAGGAAAAATATATTAAAATATCTAATATCAGAAATAGAGGTGTCATTATTCAATTTAGGATTAGCCACCTCCAAATGAGTAATGGGATTTTCTTTTTTTATCTAAACAAGTTCCTATTGTTTTCATCGAGTAGATGAACTGTGTTCGACAGTCCTACAACAACGACGTTTTTTAAGACAAATTCACTGTTGTAGTGATTGCTTATGTAAAATATCCCAGAGTCTGCTTTAGATCTAATTTCTATTCATTAATCTGCAAAAATACTGATTAATTGATTTGGATAGCAGAATCAGACTGAGCGTGAAAACATGTTGATAGAAGTCTTTTAGTGATAGGCACTCTGCATTATTCATTTGACTGGAAAATGATGGTAATTGCTGGTAATTAAAGTTCGGAGTGTGTGGATGATTCTTGCTAGAGACTCTGGTGAAGTCTTTCTCAATCTGATCATTGTGACATTCAGTTTGGTTTGAAGAAGTTCACTGTGTGTCCTTTTTGTTTGCTGGGTTGTTTTATTTATTGGTCATTCAATTAGTTTGGTTTTGGTTGACATCTTTCACGTGAGGTGTATCAGGACTGTCACAGATCAGCCATCTGTCAAAGAGCATGTCCTTTGTTGATGACAAACATGAGCTTCAGTTCTTGTTCTGTTTCAATAACAAATTATGTGCACACACACTTTGACCATCACCTTGCACATAAGAGCAATTAGGACAAGGATAACAAAGAGCAATGTATAAAAATATCAGTGTATTTCATAGGTTGCAAATTTGTTTTAATTTGCTTTCAAATTTTTCCCCTATGCGCAACAGAAAATATATCTGGTTTAGTTAGAGTTCATTATTAATGCAGATTGATTACAATGAAATATCATTAACAGATGCTGTCACATAGAGCCACAGGTGTTCAGTGATGCAGTACTAGAGAAATAATAAGAAATAGAGGCATTAAAGGGACATTTTATTTGGCGGTCTAATCAGTGTTGATGGTAAATGTTATGTAAAAGTCAGCAATAAAGTTCCAAAAATTGCAGTTGCTCTAATTGCCCCAAGAGGCTGACTCCAGAAGTGAGTCCACAAGGCCCCATATTAAAATGCCCAACTTAATAAACATGTTTACAACCTGGTACAAAAAACACTTTTGGTCTCTATAGCTAATTTCCCCGTTAAGGCTTCAAATTTGAGTGACAGGTGGGAGCCATCACAGGGGGCTGTTTTCAGTAACCATCATTCAGCCCACCTCAGCTCCACCCACGCTCCACCTATTTGCCCATTTTTAGATTAGCCCGGAGTCGGCGGAGTCAGGACGGCCAGAGCTGACCACACTGATCTTCACAATGGCTCTTCAGAAACCTATGGGGGACGTCATCGAGACTACATTCCGTTTGTACAGTATATTGACCAAGAAATAGCCACAAAATCTCCAGTGCTGGCATTTGACACACACAGTGATGTAGTCGATCTACAGCTGAACAGCCAGTTGAACTGGCTGTTTCATCTTAGAGCTTGAAGGTACTATATAGCTATATATAAAAAAGAAATGGTCAAACTTCCGGAATAGATTTGCTTGGCAACATTGTGTTTTTAATTTAATTTAATTAGCACCCAGCAGCTAACTTGTGGTTCATGCGTAATGCCTCCTGGTACATGTAGGCACTGCTGGTACATCTCCGTGAGCAGCAGACCTCCACTTCCTCAGCCAATAGAGCACGCACTGAGGAATTCATTGCTTCAATTGACTACACTTACCAACACTGACTGGACATAAAATGAGGCCCTTTAATGGTATAATTTACTCTTTTCAAATATAAAGGTAAATGCCCATCTAGCAGTAACAAAAAGAAGCAGCCAGAGCTACAGAGTATAGTCAGGTAGTGTAACTAGTCATCTCATATCTGTATGGTTGTTGTGATGGAGACATGAGTGGACAGGCTGGGTCTCTGGCTGATGACATGTGCTGTCACCAGACTGATGACCAGGCAAACCGTCTCGTCTTTCACGGCATCATGTCAGTCAGATGCACAGTGGGTACTCAGTCTGTAAGGTGCCCTGAAACTACACAACAGCACTGACATAAACCTCTGTGTGTGTGTGTGTGTGTGTGTGTGTGTGTGGTGTGTTGTTGTGTGGTGTGTGTGTGTGTGTATATGGAAACTGCATACAGTGTGACAGTCCTTGTAGCTCATGAAAACGCCACATAATAAAATATGTTTCAACCCTAGATTTAGACAACTGTTATAAAATAGTATAAAAGATGTTCACTTATAGTTCACCTTTTGCACGCAATATGACACACTACTTGATATGCAAAACATATTTTTTTCTAATTATTCACAGGAGAATGATTAGCCCTTTCTTTGCTTATTGCCCTTGAGTTCTATTCATTTTGTGAGGACGGATTTCAAAGGAATTTCCAAATGCATGAGTGCCATCTTCATACGTCAGGCTTGTTTAGGTAGTGTAAAGTGCTGTTAATCTGATGTTTGGTCACTGCTCTCATGCTGTGGCCAAAACACAGAGCAGCTCTCTTGGGAGTCCTGCCTTTAACCATCTGCTCATTTTCAACAGGCTATCAGGAGAGAGCATTTTGTGTGCACTGTGTGGCATTGGTTTCATTTCATCCTGCACAATTTATGACTGCAATATTATTGCTAGAGACTAGAGGTCAAATTTCCAATTTACTATACAGGCTAGAGTCTGTGTAGCAGAGCCAGAACGGGCACAGAGGAAAGACATCTTGAACTTGAAAGCTGTTAGTTGAATAGGTTTTGACGGTCTTACCATTGGTGTCGTTTACATCTGAACATTTTATTGCACATTTCAACACCAGCCGCAGCGCTGTAAGAATCATAAATTCTGCGATCAAAATGCTTGGGTGTCTTTGTTATCAGTAATGTGTTAAAATTGCATATATGCACGATACAAGCTTACTATGTGCACTCGTTTGCTACCAGTGTTCTCATTCCTGTCTCTTGTTAAAGCCATTCAGCTATAATAACGGTATCAGAGTGCTGCATATGGGAGGGGAGCAAATGGAAGTCTGTTAAATTGTTGATGATACAGAGATCCACAAGCTTGTCCCCTGGATGCATTTATGGAAAGTAGGACAGCGATGAGCCCTGGTGTCTCTCTCTATCACTAAAACCTAAAAGTCTTACTCTTTTCTCCCCCTTCTCTCTTTGTCTCTCTTACAGGCCAGCCCTGCCCCAATAATCGTCAACACAGACACTTTGGAATCAGTTCCTTATGTGAGTTTCAATTGTTTTTTTTTTTTTTAATGTACCTATTAGTCTTTTTGAGTAGATGATCAATTCCTACAGCAGGTTAAAGCACACTGGAGGAGGAGCACATTAAAAGAAAGCTGCTGAGTTTAAAGGGAGGTAGTATGGGTGGCATATAAGTACATTTTGACCGTGTAACTTATCTTAGTAAAACAAATTAGATCACTGTGATGAATTATTGATGTTTGTCATGAATAAAAGACCAGCAAAAGACTTTCTAAAGGCCTTCACCTATGGCTCTTTTCACAGTATTTTACATCAAAACAAATAAATGAAGCCATGTTGCAGAGCAGAGGCTCAATGAATAACAAAGTCAAACAGGGATTGGGCTCCAAGAGGGGGTTTATCTTTCATGGTAAAATTGTCACATTTGGCGGTTGTGTTAACAGATGCTTTCCTGATTTGTGGAAAAATTAGGAGTGTATCTGCCTCAGACATTTTTTTTTCTTCTGCCAAACAACATTACTTACTTTTATTCTGGCACTTAGTGCATATGATAGATCTTTGACCATAAACTGAAGAGTCAAAACTATGGAGAATGGAAACAAAAATGAAAAACAGATAAATAAATTACCCAATTAATAAATAAATGGATTAATATATATGCCATTAAATGTACCCACATTTTTTATTAAACATAAATAGAGGCATTAATTGATATATGAATGTGACATGAATTGATATTCCTGTTTTAATTTGCTTCTGTATTTATTTACATTTGCATGAATTTCCTAATTTATTTACTTTCCAATTTAATATTCTATTTTATTTATTATTAATTTCTTCCTTTTGTTATTTATTTTGCACCCCCGCCCCCATTTATTTCCCTGAAAAGTCTTCTTTTTACTTACTAGGTAAATAAATACAGAAGCAAATTAAAATAGAAAAATCTATGTCATATTTATATGTAAATGAATGAATGAATGAATGTATATTTTTTATATTATTTGGTGCATTTAATAGCATATTTATCTATTTACTGGGTCATTTATTTGTTTTTGATTTTGACATTTCGGTCCTCCATAAAAGTCATATAGTAACATCAGATAAACTCTGCCTATTTCACTGCTGTTGCTAATTCTGCCTTCAGCCATTTGCTTGCCTCTACAATCACATGAAGTTCTGATAATTATATCTGATGCTACTCAAAAGTGATGCCCAACTGGGAATATGATCTGCAGCATCTCATATACTCATGTGCTATTCCTGCATGAATGCATAATGACGGAAGTGCTCGCTGCTAATTAATCATCTCAGTGAGATACAGGATGAGACTGACTCTTCGGTAGCTAACTTCCACGTTGCAGAAATAGCGAATGTTGATTAACTATCACCTTGAATTGTTTCCCTCGAGGTGGGCCTATTTAGCACAGGAAGCACAAGTGGCCCTGGAAAACACCTGTCACCTTCAATCTAAGTATGTAGAGTCTGCCTTTGTGTAGAGCCGACGCATAATATCATCCTCTATGGATATATTTCAGTGTAATTTATTCAGCAGCACTGGCATGTACTTTTATTTTATAGCAATGTTTGAAGGACTAAAACATGGAGTGAATGTGTTGGCTCAATCTAATTTCTGTGTCCTCAGGTCAACGGCACAGAAATTGAATACGAGTTCGAGGAAATCACTCTAGAGCGGGTGAGTATCACAGATCCAGCTACGCTTAACCTCAGAAAAATCTATCAGAGCCTGCCTGGCCACTGTGGTTCAGTGAAATGATGCAAGGCAGGGATAGAGGGAAGTTAAAGGTCCAGTGTCCAGGATTTAGTGGCATCTAGCTATGTAGTTGCAGATCCCAACTCCCTCGCTTCAACCTCTCCTTTCAAGCAGGAAGGAGAAACTACATTGGCTGTGAAACAAGCGCAAAACTCAAACATCCCTATCTATAGCCAATCATCATCATCTTGTCCATGGAGAAAAGCCTCCAGTGCCGTAAATTAGAGATGTTCGAGTTCCATTTTTTCCTTCCTTGGCTTCAATAACACACCAATCCTATTTACTTTAATGGAGAATGAGCTAACTTGTCACTTCATTTATGAGCTCAGTAAACAGTTTCCTGATGAGTCTATGTTCTTAATCGCTAGTTTCACATCTTCTTCAATACATTATAATGTTTATTTAGTAAAGCCAAAACACAGAACTCGAGGATTCAAAACGGCACTCCACAAACCAATGGGTGACGTCACAATAGGTTCACACTTGGTCTACACTCAATACCACTTTTTTATTTTATTTCTGATACTGGTATTTGTATCGGAACAACTGTATATCAAAGCAATGCCATGCATCTAAAATAGCTTGTTATATAAATATATGTATAAACATTATGAAAGAATTCCCATGATCATGGCTTATACATAGTTCTAAAGTCAAATGTTACACCTCTTTTTGACTTTAGTTAGCAGGTGATTTGACTTGAAAATGAATTCATGCAAACAGCATGAAGCAGTAATTGTCATCCTAACCCAGATGTGGCACAGTTGGCAAAGTGTATATTAACAGGTGCAGATTGGAAGGAGTTTTGACAGCTTCAGTACGATCAGGAGCAGAGACAAACCCAGAGCACCAGCAAATATGAACACCAGCAACCAACCAGCAAGAGGAGCCAGCTCTAAGAGATGTAATAATACACACAGTGCTCAGCCTCCATCCATACTCCAGCACCTCCACATTTATCATCAGCTATCAGATGAGGGCCAATACCATCTCATGTGTTCTCTGAGAACAGACGGCCCTGTGTCTGGCCCTCTCAAGTCGTCGCCCTGGAGACCTGAAGGCTTTTTGGTTCCATGCCCCTTCAGGGACGCTCAGTGGGTTGTGTAAGAGAAGTTGCTATTCCCATAAGCTAACAATTTAATCAAAGCTTGACTTTCATTTTGTGAGTGGGCTTCCAGGGGATTTTATTTGCAGAGTCGAGTGTGAAGTGCAGCTCCTGCTCTGAAAGACATGGTGTTATCCTGCTGTTTTTTTAAATACAATATCACATAGTAAAGTCACTGTGATAAAGAGCCAGGAGAGAGGCTGTGACCTGGACTTACAGCAGGAGGCAAGAGCCATTTTGTGATGGCAAACTGAGGACACCTTTATAATCCTACTGAGATCAGTGTTTCACTGATTTTTAAAGAAATTGTTGCTTGCGCTCAACAGAACTAAAGGTCAGCATTTAGAAAAGGAATTTCTATTTTAATGCATACTAAAAGATCCTCTGCAGACGTTTATTAAGACATATACATATATACTGTATATATACAGCTTGGAACACTAATGTGTGTCTGATATATTTTTTCCACATTAAAATCCTTAAAAAGGCATCTCCTACTTCACTGTAAAGTCCATTCTCAGTGGATGTGCACTGGTGGCTTCAAGTTTCTACATCACACTGTACAAGTTGCATACTGGACCAGGACTGACTTCCTAACTAT